GAGCGGTAGAACTATTTTCATCAAAGTCTAAGTACTAACTTAGTGGTCTTTCAGGTCTGACTAATAAGCACTCAAAAACCGTGCAAAGCCTATACCTTAGTGTGCTTGGGTACCGGTCTTACAGAGTGGTTACATATAGAAAGGTCACAAGCTAAGGTAGTATCATATAGCAGTTTTCCTCAGTCCCCAGTAAGACTTCTTTCGTTGCAGTCGACTTAGGCATCAAAACCCTTACCATCTGCCAAGTGGAACTGAAAACCTGGCACGTGACACGTCTCAGTGAGTCTCCATGGGCATTTATAACTTGTAACATGAACTTTGGAAACCGGTTATATGGATCTCATATCCGACAAATACCATTCTTGGGGAATCGCAACATCCGGTCTTGTGAGTACGTCATCATTGCCGCTGCATCCGATCGTTATCTAAGCACTGGCTTCCTGATTTGATGACGCTGGTTATTGAATGCATATGCTCAAGAATATTCACAGGCTTCTGTTATCACTGCCCCTAAGGATTTCCAGGTAGGCTACGTCTAACCCAGTAGCCTATAGGATAGTGGAAGGAGTTCGGGTGACTTTGCTCCGAGGTAACATAATACCACCGCTTAATCAAGAAAATATATTGAACTACGTTTAGTGATCGGACAGTGCTTGGGCGATTCCTGGCAAGTGCTTTCCATTCACCAATCACACCGAACTTTTAGAAGTTCGCAAATATCTGAGTGCTGGAGATACTACGTGCCATGCATTTAGTTTCACACGTAAAAAGTGTTCCACAATTGCTCCTCGTAAATTTCAGTTTGTATAAAGGAATTTTAGTTTGGAAGTTGAATGTGTCCCTTGCATATTAACTGATCAGTTGGATTTCTTTCGAAAGAATTTAGCCGTCTGTTTAAATATCACAACATCACCTACTTACTCGCTACACAATGCTTTAAGACCACTTACCTGTTTTAAACTTCTGACATGCTAGGAAAAGTTTTTGAGGCATCTTTTTTAGTATCGATAAAATGTACTAGATGTAGATGCTCATTCGTTTTCACTCATTAGCATCTCCATGCATTTACTGTAGGTCACTACTACCAACCGAGGTACTACCGAACTAACATCATTTAATCCACAATGAATACTCGCCTATGCTGCAAACGCTATGTAGTTTTGAAGTCGAATCACACGTCTGATGTAACGTCAATTCTACAAGTCATATTTTATGCTCTAATATAATGTTTTTTTTAAATTTAGCAGGTTCCCCGTACTCATCACCTACTATGATTACAAATGCTAGCTGATCCTAATTTCCGTGAACTAGTCACTCTCCCTCTCCCTACTGAAGTATTGCGTGCTTTTATCCGATCCGGCTACACAAGTGTTGGGGAGGCTTGTGGACTTAGTGTGGATCAGATATCTTCACGTAAGTTTTCCTTTTATGAATACTGTTGTGGATTCATACTCAGAAGATGCCAGTTCTCAGTTGTTTAACGCTTCCCGAAGTTGCCTAGTAAAACTTTCTTTCCTTTATGTTAAGTCTGCGGAGTTCATAGGCAAAAGGCAACTTCTGTGCTGGAAATTCTTCAAACCTATTCAAGATTGACAGTTTTCGGGCCAGTTGGATCAACCGCAAGAGACCTTTTCCAACCCCACACAGCTCTGGAATTGTTAAAAATCGAAGGGCACAAATTTACCAATGAAATTAGTGGATCACCTACAGATTCTGGATATATTGTAACTATGTGCAAGAGGTAAGCGCCTGGTATTCTTTAGCGTTTCTATTCTCCTTACCATAGCAAATAGTTTCCTGCCGGTAAGAGGCAGTCTTCGCAGTCTAACCCTCGTTCCAGTGAAGAACCGAGTTATCCCGTCGACTCGCATGCCGTCAACGCGATGGCTTTTTGCGCTTCGTGATAGGTTTAAGCTTGTCAGATACATAAGAAATAAAAATGCAATGGTTTGCTATAATAATACGGGCCTTAATTTATCTCACAAGTCCTGTGCACCAGTGATCTGTCTGCGCTTGTCGACAGACTGGTAATCGAATTGGGCTTAGTCGCTGGGTTTTCGTAAAGTCGCCATCTACCACATACCGTGCGCTTAACTACGCATGACTGATAGTTGATTTGTGGTGGCCAACGTCACTCAAAAAGGACATTCTTCGGTGATTGATTTATACTTGCGGGTTTCATTTGGTTTTTACAGGTTGACAATGTCCGCATCCTTAAAGCCTTGTGGGATTTTTCCATGTCGTTACATCTACTGGAGAAGTAATGTAGACGTGCCCGTGAGCTAACGGCTCTCGCAATTGTAGCTCTTGGGTCTGCGCCTGGAAAATTTCCATTGAACATCTGTTTGGCCTCTTTTTATTATTTACAGGAGAGAGTGCGATGGAGCGCGGCTTTGATTTCCCCACGAGATGCAGACATGTGCTTTATGCCGCACACAAATTATTGGGCGCAACGGTCTAGTATATGCAATTTATTTGGCAGTGGGGTGGTTAAACCTGAGCTAAATAGGGGCTACGTTCTTGTGCAGACCACCACGATAATCGCTAAAATCTTGATTTCACAACGACCTGCATACCCTTAGATATTGTCGGCTCCGTTGATCAACTAGTTATTTTGCACCAGCACCAATCTTTATCGCGACAGACGATGGTGTTAAAGGATGAGGCTTTATTTTATATTTTTTACTGTTCATATAGATTGCGTGTAATTGGTTTTTTGAATATTGGTTGCTGTATTGCACCACAGCTGCAATCAGACCATTTCTAGTGTTATCACCGTGAAGGTCAGATTACTTTAATGACAATAACATGCATAGCACTCCGAATTGTTTTGTCTTCAACGTCAGTGTTTACTGGTGGTCCCGCTTCCTGTCCACGTTATTGGGGAACTCGCACTTGTGTTCACCTATGTCCGTTGCTGTCGTTTTCACATTTGTTCCTGCCACCTTTTCTTGGGTCTGAACCCATGGCTAGCTTCAGTTTCTAAAAGAAAGGAAGATGATCAGTCCGGCATTCGGCACCATGTCCCGTCTTTGTTATAGGAATGTCACGGCATCTGAGCTTCCGGACGCGGGCATAGTCCGGTAGCTGCCACTGGCGAGATCGCGGATACATCCATGGTGAGCCGAAATATGGTGTTGGCGATGAGAAGGCATTTTTTTCGTACTGTTGCAATGACCCAAGTACTTCTTGCCATTTTGCATGGTTTGCGTTTACTCGGGCTTTGAAGTCACTCAAGACAGCGAATTTGTCCGTTGTCAGACTGGATGATGAAGGGGCGTTCAGAACTTCGTCGAACACCTCGCCGCCAGTGTTAGTCATCGTATTAACGTGGGCACACAGAGGGGTAACGATTTTCCCCTGCGAAATGAAACCCTCACTGAGATGAGGCTGCTACTAACTCCATAAGACACGAAGGAAAACCTCCTAACAAGGTCGTTTCTGGCCGCAAAGATGATTTTAACATCATGGTGCTTTTCATTCTGATGTTCTCTCTGGCAGGTGTAATCTGCACCAACCTAACTTAACTGCCCTTGTCCCAATAAACGGATCTCGCGTTGTGCGGCGACTTCCGCATTGCAAAGAGGCAGTTCTCGGGCAATAAAATAACTTATCGGTGGCTGATTGGACATTGAGTTGCATTATAGCCGAAAGTACTTGCCTGTTTGAGAAGCCGCATCTCAGCCTCCTCCTTATTCATTCGAATAGGCACTAGATAATTTTCCGGACTTTCGTACAACCGAATTATCTGTGCGTTTCAGTGACGTCCAGCCGACAGAAAGTGATGTACGTAATGCTTTTAATTTACCCAATTGTAAAAAAACTCTGAGGCCTCTGTGGGATTTGAACCCACGGCAACAAGGGGAAGGCTTGAGTACAGTCAACTGTGATTAACCTCATGGTTCCGTTTGGGGCCTCGTAGCTCAGTTGGCTAGAGAGTTGGCTTTACTAAAACCTCTCCCTTGTTGTCGTGGGTTTGAATCCCACCGAGACCGCCGAGTATTTTTTACAATTAAGTCAATTGAATTATTAAAGTATGCCCAAACGCCCTATTAATAATGCTTTTTACAAAATGACCCAGTTTCTGATGTAGCTAGACTTTTGTAATACAGTGCTTATACTTTGCCCTTCGCAGATTAAAAACAGAATTTTCCTCAAGGAAACCCAATTACTTAAGCTGTTCGTTTCCTCAATAGTTTTGATGATCTGTTGGATGGAGGTTTCCCCTGTGGTCGCATCACCGAGGTTTGTGGACAACCAGGAATAGGTAAAACACAGTTTTGGTAAGTTTTAGGGTAATTATTATGTTGGAAGAGTCTGACTGGACTGAAACTCTGATCTTTGCCTGCCAACGTTTTTAGGTCTTCCTTTTACCTGCTTATTTTAGCTTGCAGAGCTGTCTGACGGTACAGTTGCCTAAATGGTGCTCAGGTCTCGCTGGTGAAGCCGTTTTCATCGACACTGAGGGGAGCTTTATGACAAAACGCCTGTTCCAAATGGCTGAATCCCTTGTAGCTCATTGTAACAAACGCATTGTCCCCGAACTCAGGAAGTTGCTGACGTCATCAGGTAAATTTCATAATTTCTCTTATTGCTTCCCGTGTTTATGATGAACCAGTAATGTTAGAAAGTGATAGCGCCGTTCAAGAGGAGCTAGGGTGAAACTGTACGCAGATAATGTTTTGAAGTATGCGATCTACCGCTCATAGTAAGCCGAGCCGGAAATTCCCTTTTTTGCCGTGTGAGTGAGCACGATTGGCGTGTCCGAACTTAAATGACGCTTTCTTTCGTGCTTTTTCTGCTTATGTGTAGTGACAGGGAACACTTTTTATACGAGTCGTTAGCGGTGGTGCGTGGAAGCCTAAAAACCGCTATTAAATCCAAAACACTGAAAGCTTTCAGTTTCAGCTAATAACCCAGACTCCTTTTATTGTGGTGTACGCTAATCGTTTATGCGTCTCGTACCGGCTAATTTTAAGTGCCAATTTGGTCCTGTGGTGTAAATGACAGTCAGTGGAAAGGATAGAGAAGTTCATGTGCGCAGCTGATGTGCGGGATTATTTTAGTTGGGTGAGGGTTCTTCGATTTCTATACAGTAAAAGTGTCGGATTTTATGTAGAAGAACACTAACGACAAAGATAAAAGAGACTGGGATGACCATTTCTGTCCTATGAGCCGTTATCAGAAAATCATACCCAACCGCAGGTGTTGCATCACCTGATGTTTGAACCCCCGACCTGTTGATTAGAAGTTCAACGCTGCTGGCGGGCTCGGAAGGAAAAACGGGGCGAATGAGTCCTGTACCCGGTCGGTGACTGCCCACTCACCACTGTTGAATATTGTGCCCGTCAGTATTTAAGTATACACTTTTTAGCTCTGGAGCTTTCTTTGAATCACCCAAAAGTTACTCCTGTGTTGAGCCGCGGAGGTAGCCGACTAAGTTTCTAAGTCAAACCGCCTCAAACCGCTACCAATAAGTAGACCAGGGATGCGGTCATCCCGGCATTT